AGTATATACTATACATATATATATATACGAACTTGTATTAAACCCGCATCTGGCGAACCTCTTTATACGCAACAACAACAAAACAGCGTCCAGAGATTGCCTCTACTGGGCTGTGTCAATGCTGGCAAGGCGAATGATTTGATAATGGAGCATGGAGGACGTGCCCTCGCACACTTACACCTAGGTATACTGTGTTGCATAACACGTAAAAATGATAAAATGTATGCCAATATATAGTTAAGATATAACGGATAACGAATCGTTCCCCAATGTGGTCTGATTATTATTTTGTTGATCGTTTTTTTCGATAGTAGCTTTTTTTGATTGGCACCTGTTCCACCTCTTCCTCGTCGTCGTCATCGTCGTCGTCGTCCTCGTCTTCCTCCTCATCGTCTTCCTCGTCCTCATCATCCTCCTCCTCCTCCTCCTGCTCCTGCTCCTGCTCCTGCTGCTGTTGATCTTGTTCTCGACCCTTGCCATGTTCAATCTGTGCCAACATGCGCTTATTGCGGCCCATCTCCACATCGATGTTGACCCAGTCGTAGAGATAGTCATAGATCAGAAAATGGTTCCGGAATAGGACCTTAAACAGCTGCCGCAAATACACGTAGTCCGGCTGCTCGGTAAAGTGCAAGCTGCGACAGTACTTCATGTACATGTAAAACTCGGTGGGCACACCGGCGCAGAGTATATTCAGGGGCAGCGTGGACTTGCTCTCGGCGATTTTCTCGTACTTCTGGACTCGCGTCGCCGCATTGATGCCCTGCCAGGGCAGTCGACCGCGCATGAAGTAGAGCAACAGATAGCCAACGGACTCCAAGTCGTCGCGCCGGCCCTGCTCCGCATAGTGGGCGTGCACGGAGGCGTACCGAGCGGTGCCAATGAGCTCGTTGCGCTCATAGTAGTTGATGTGGGTGCGGGTGCTTGGGCGATAATATCTCTTGGCCAGGCCAAAATCAATCATGAACACGCGAGTGCGCTGACTGCCCAGGCCCATGAGAAAGTTCTCCGGCTTGATGTCGCGATGCAGCAGACAATTCATGTGCAGATACTCCACGCGGGCCAGAATCTGATCCGCCAGCATTAGTGTAGTCTTCAGACTGAAGTTTCGCGCACAGAAGTTGAGCAGATCCTCCAAGGTGGGGCCCAGTAGATCTAGCACCAGCACATTGTAGATGCCCTCGGTGCCGAAGTAGCGAATGTGCGGGAAGCCAACACCGCCCCTAAGTATGTTGTATATCTTGGCCTCGCGCGGCAGCTGTGGATACTTAACCGAGCTGCTCTCCAGCTTGACAGCCACTTCTTCGCCGCAGTGGACGCCCGAGGCACGATATAGCTCCCCGAAGGACCCGCTGCCTATTGGACTCAATAACCGATACTTGCCCCCAACAATAATGTCCCGTAGAGCACTACGCTTCGAGGATCCCGACTTGGGTAATTTTGCTTGCGGCTATAACACCAGACTCTGACAATCGGTCAACATTGATTTGCATTCGAATATCATACCTGCGTCATCCTCTTGTGCCCGGCTAGCTGCTCGTTGGATGTTAGAGGAATGTAGTTAGAGTGTCTCTAGGCATGTCTAGCATGACTAGTGTGGGAATAGTTTATGTCAATACTACAAACAAATCATATTTGCTGTCATATGACCATAAAGTCAAGGATAACTGTGATACTACAACCAAACTATCCGATTATCAGTTATTAATACTTAGCCATGATCCAAAACCAGTTGAGTCTATTCCATTGTCGAGCTCTAGCTTTAAAGCATTGCAGTTGTAAATAAACGTAACTGAAAAAATGTTAAAGGTATTCAAAACATTCTGGAATATACGGAATATTTTGTATAACCCACGACCTCAAAGATACTAAAATTATATTGCTTTCTTGTAAGGATAATATACTGATACTAATAATAGTATAAATCCTCATCAATACATAAAAAGTTCTGTCATTTTTACCTTGCTAAGCTTTATACATACATATGTATAATTGTCATAATTAATAAATTCTAATATATTCCAAACCTAATCTTATGGAAATATTGGTATTTTATAAATTGATAACCATCGCCATAAACTGGTAATCCCATCATCATACCATAATAAAGGACGACAAACATAACACAATAATTTTTTATCTATACTTTAGATGACCTTAAATCTATCGAGTATATAAGTTTCCTCTTTGGTTATCACTGAAAGTAGATATATAAAATCTAAAATCCCTAGCAACAGGATATCCCGATTTGCCACGTTTCCGTTTACAAATAAATTTATTCAAAGTTTGAATTTAACAGAGATAATAGTAAAGACAGCAAGGCGGACATCACACAAAGCCAATATACCCATTTCGCTTCGCGAATGAGTATATCAAATGCCCAATCGCATTGTTCCGCTATTATATTAAGCCTCATTTAGCCCTTAACAACATTCTGGGCAGAAAGTCACGCCACATAAAGCTGCTCTCGTGTAATACAATAAATTAAAAATAAACTACTGACTTTGACAATTTTAATACGCAATTTACGGCTCTGATTCGTGGAGAGCAATTAGGATGGCAAGCCTAGCCTGGCCATGCTGCTGCGCGTATGAGTCCCGGATGTAATCTGCGGGCTGATTTATGGATCACAGTTGAAATTGAAAAACAACAAACCAACGACATGAACAGCAGCTCCGACTTCGACATGCCAAACATGGCTGTGTCGACTCATAAGCCATTTAGCTAGATGGCACTTATTTATAGCTTCCAGCGCAATAATGATATGAGCCAACTGCATTTATAATGAAAATAGAAAACTATATATACTAAAGAGAGAGTTCAATACTTTGCTCTTCCCTCGTCATGTCTGCTGTGAAACGCTCTCTGTGGGCATTCTTAAAGACGTGCCCAAGACCAAGGGCCGCACATTTGGTCTACCTAATTTTGATGCGAGCCATCTTTAAAATACATATTCAATTTGTGGAACACCATCCGGTCACGTACCACATCAGCATAATTTCGACGCGTTTCGACACTTTCAGTAGGTTTGCCTTCGCGCCTGCTCCAACTCGGAGTCCTCCCCAATGGCACACTTATTGTGGCTCCCGACAATGGCTTAGACATATTAAAATTCTAAAGCAGCAACTTAAATTCAATATCGCTAAACGTAGGGTAAAAGGTATTTCGCATGCTCAATGTGATTTCACTCCTGTGACTATTTGAAGGTAAAAGGTAAACGTTGGCGGTTGCTTAACTCAGGCGAGCTGGTTTAAGTCGGCCTATTTCACTGTGTAATTCGATGTGCTAGGCTGCCTAGGTATTATAAATTTAGATACTAAATAATAATATTGGATATTTAAATACAGGGTATAAACTTAGGGTATTGTTAAAATATAAATTAGCAGAGGCAGAAAGAGTAGTTAGTAGGAAGTCCTAATTTCTGAATGAATATCGCCAGTCTTCGCTTGTTAAGTCGAGTGGTATATATATGTTTTCCATATTATATTCCACCCTAAATTTACCCATCTATCAATCCATTTGCCTATAAGAAAACGTAAGATTTGGGACCTTGAAACACAGATCAATCATCTTTTTCGAACGACTTTCACATGAAAGAGAGATAGCCCAGGATATCTTTTAGTCTAACACACCTGACGCTTACTAGCATTGTAAACGTATGCAAGAAAGCTCAAGCAAGTCCCAAATTCAAGTTACACCAGAAGCAGTGTGAATCGAGCGGGTGCACATATCAGCTCGTGCACCACATAGTCTGAGAAACGAGTCAGCTGGCCTGAATTTAAATGATTGAATTTTGCATAAACTAATTTCATAACGCTTGCTTGTCCAGGACTCCTGCTGTAGATGGGCGGCCGTTGCTCGGCTTGTAAGCAAAAAAACAAACAGTTGGGACTTCTTATTTGTTGACATTAGCTCAAGCATCGTTGAGTTTGTGATATGGGCGTGGGCTTAAGTCCTTGAACAAAAAATAATAATTTCACTCCATGAATGTACAAACAGCATCGCAAAGCGGCTGGATACTATTTTCAAGTGACTCTCATGAGATGTTTTGTTTTTATGCTTACAACTTCAGCGTTTATCGAACTTTTCCTACTTAGAATAAAATGCGTGAAAACCATACGAACGACTTTAAAGCAATGGCAAATTATAATGATTATTCGAATAGCTCTCCCGCTGACTTAAAACGCGATAAAAAGTTTAGTTCATGCTTGCAAAAAAAAAAAAAACTCAAAACTATCTAAAAAGTTTTGTACAAATTGTTAGTGACTTCGTTGTGTCAGTGAGAATACAGAAATAGCTCAGCTCTTTCTCTTTCTCTCTCCCCCTCTCTCTCTCTCTCACTCTCTCTCTCTCTCCCTCTCTCTCTCTCTCTCCCTCTCTCTCTCTATCTCTCTCTCTCTCTAAAATTGATTTAGAAATGTTCTCTACTATTCTTAAAGTTGTTGCGGCTTAGATAAAGTCTATGACGATTTGTGGATATCGAAAAACAAATTTAATCATTTTTCTGGCAAATATGTATTAATAGTATTAAAACTATTATTTCACTGAGAATACAACGGATGTCTAATTGTTGCAAATCAAATAATTTGAAAATAATAATAAGATACATTCAACTGAAATCAACAATAAGGAGAAAGAACAGGTACAGAGAGAGTAAAACAACCTCGTAAGAGGGCGGGCACTTGGGCAATTAAGCAGGATATCATGACTGGCAGAACTGCCTGTTTATCTGTTAATTAAAATGGAGAACGGAATGGGGCACAGGGATGAGCCTGAGTCCGCCTGAACTTGAATAGTCATTTAAAGGATAAGTACCCTTGCGACCTAGATATCGATTGGTTTAGGTGTGAAATTCGTTGTTGACTTCATGTATGAAACGAATGTAAACGTCATCTGGCATCAGCTATTACGCCCGATAAATTCAATTAATTTTAATAAATATAAACAGAGACTTTAGTATTTCAATTTCATTTACCAGTATTCGTTTACTTTGATTTCAGAATGTATTTGGAATCACGAAGAGGTCATACATATTGAAGCTATGCCTTTTTGTCCAGCAGCCCACAGTTGGACTAAATCGATAATTAATTAAAATATATTTAATTAACCAATATATTAGTAGTAAAGAAATCAAACTGGCGTCGTTCAAGCGGAATAACGACAATATTCGCAATTACAATAGCAATATAATGTGGAGTAGTACAATATCACCAACAAATTCTAAGAAGCTATTGATCGGTAGTACAAGAAGCGTTGATTATGTCGGTGATAGTGCGAGAACAACAACAGCAACAGCAAAAGCAACAACAGCAGCAGCAGCAGCAGGATTCAATAATAAAGCAACAGGAGCAGCCATTAAAGGAGCAACAGCTAAATCGCAGCAAAGGACAACAACAGCAACAACAACCCCAGCAAAAACAACAAAAATCTCAATTGAAATGGAGATACATATACAAAACAAGTGCATTTCGGCATAGCGTATCACTCTGGAGGGTGGTGCAGAGCCCCCATGGCTGCAGGGCCCCCTTAAAGCAGCATTTTTGGGGGCTTCTGGCGTCGGCAAAACAAGCATATTACAGGTAAACTGATAATACGTAATATAAATATAACGGTAAATATACATATATGTATACAATTCAAAAAAATATATATACATAACTATATATTTACATATACATAGTATGTTTTATATTATAAAGCGAACCATATTTTAGCTACAGTCCCAAGCTTAATTAGAAAACACCCTAGTATCCAATATATTTTGCATTTTATGTAACCTTTTCCAGGCTTGAATTACGCGTTGTGTTCGCTTCCATTAAAACTATGTTGTTTATGGGGGGGGACTAAACATTTAATTAAACCTTCCTCATCTAGCTCGCAGCCAGCTTCGCCATCACTCTCCCCATCTACCCCGCTCTCACTCCATCCACCCCTCTCTCTCTCTCTCTCTCTATGTTTCTCTCCTGTAATGGCATTTAAATGCATTTGAATGTGGAAGAACCGCTAATTCGATTTCCGCTTCGCCGATGCGTCACATCGCTGCATTTCAGGTTTTCGTGGCTTTAAAGTTCTAATTAGACAAGGGAGAAGCATTGTTGGCTACCGGCAGAGCCCGTGATTTATTGTTACCACAGCGCAAAAAGACCCGTCTACCTGTTCACCATAAATTCCCATTGCATACATATATATATATATACATTCAGTATATATACATACACATATACAAATATATTTATTTGCTAATTTGGTATTTATACGCTCCAGAAACTGCTGCATAAAGGTGAAATTATTATTATGTTCAATTTATTACCGGCATGCCTAGCACAGAAAAGGAAAAGCTGCTACTCCAAAAGTTATAGTGAAAATTAAATATCAAATTTAATAACCCAAGTTTTTCAAATAAAAACGCGCCAGTCTGTTAGCATATTGAAACCCCTATATTTTATACCCAGCCCACTGTAGACCCTCTCTTAAGATTATTAATTATATACATATTATACATATGTATATAAATACCTTTTACAATTTGTAATTCATATTAAAATCAATCTATCTAGTCCCAGTTTTTAGCTAAAAATTCTCAACTATCCAGTTAACTATTTATCCAAATATTGGGCCATGATCAGCTAACTTGACAAAGTCTAAGCCTACCTAAGGCAAAGTCTTTTCTTTTTTCCTTATGCAAACATAGCTGGGTACAGTTTTTATATTTCATATCTATATACTTTGTATATAGTCAAGAAGTTGGACGAATATGTCTGAGCATTGACTTATAATATACATTAAATTTTCCCCAAGTTGCATCTTGATCAGACTCATACTAGACATTTAGATAAATTTGTTAGGGTCTACACCCTAACCCCAGCGAGGGGTTCAAGGCTGCGGGACAAGGTCACTTGAGCTACCTCAATTTTGCTCTTTGCTGCACATTTTTGCCGTACTTCGATTCAAATAGCTAAAACGAGCGAGCTCTGTTTAAATATTAATGTAGCTGTTAGCCTTAAATGCCTTGGACAGCCGTTATACGTTATACGAGTGAGTGTCTTTGTGGACGTATTATCTGGAAATGTCTTGATGCTGCCAGCTGCTGCTTAGCTGCCTGACGTTGTGCTATTAATTGCGGTCAGTGTCACTCGTCACGCTTCAAAGTGCCATTAAAATGCGTGAGCTTAAGCAGGGAATGTTTTATTAAATGCAAAGGAATCTTTATATCAGCTGTTTCAGCTGTGTCAACTGATTGACATGAAAGGAGTAAAGCAAATGCAAGCATGGCTCGACATGCGCTGATTCATTTGCTCCTGGCCAAGCCGAATGGCAATTTAAATATGCTATATTATGCGCATTTTATGCTCTATTAGCGCACTAACATAAATACATTCACAGGAGAGGGGAGTAGGTGGAGGTGCGTCGAGCAGAGCAGCGCAGAACTCGGCTCGGCTCGTCGCTTTTATGTTCCACCGCATATCCTTGAGTTTTATTTTTATTGACCTGGTAATTGAATCAAACTTTACGTTTATGACCATGGGGCTACTTCGCGCCGCGCAATAACATTCACCCAATGCTTCCAGCATGAAACTTGATGCATTTAGTTAATTTACTCTTTCATTTCCTTTCAATGCCCAATATGGTTTAAACACGGCACATGAGATCTCATTATTTCAACTTATCCCCACTAATCGGAGTATCTATTTATTGTCGATCAATTTTTGTGCTTCCTTCACAGCAATTTTTTTACCATGACTTCCCCAAGACTCATCAAACGACAACTCATCGCAAAATTTACAAAAACTGTTTGGTCTGCGACACCTGCATACGCGAGCTGATGGTACTGGACGTTCCTCCCCAGGTGAGTGAAACTGAGAGCTGTCTGCAAATATACACAGCACATGTAGGGGGCAGACTGAAGCATCTCCGACCCCACACACACACGCACACATAACCATGTAGAACAAATAGCTGAGCCGTCTGTCTGTGCCCTCAATAGCACCTCCATATTGCCATTACTCAATACACAAAACCTATATATCCTTGTCACTATGTCAATGAGTATCAAAGCACTAAAAGACCTCACGAACTTTCCACCGCTTCAAGTGAAATTGTGTCACCTGTGAAGAGACTCTGAGAGGCTCCTGTTCAGCTGCAGTGCGGCACAGTGGGCCTGTACAGTGGTCTTTCTGTTAATAAATGAATACTTAAATAAAGGGAATGATTATTATGATGGGTATAGTTCTGATTGTAATGCATATTATTTTTGTAATTATTATTATTAGCAACAAAAGATATAAATATTATAAATGTATGACCTCAAACAAACCACACTAAGGTGAATTTATATAAATACAAATAATGAACTGGCAAAAGCACAACAAAGTCCGCTTTGTCAGCCAGTTGCTATACAATTGGCCATTCTCTATTGTCCGAATTACAACAACAACATCACTTATAGAAGAGATTCTCTCCAGCCCGTCGAGGTGGCCAAGTTTCAATGGCTTTCAATTTATTCATGTCAAATTTGGCGTGAATTCGGCTTGACACTCTTCAGCTAGGTATTGCCTAAGGGATATATGGACATATTAAAGGAGCATTTTAATGAAATCATATTTGTAAAAGACATCAGAGGGCATAGCTTATAGTTCACGCAGCTAGAATTCAAGTTGTATTCATGTAATACACTCTTGTTATAATTTACACGCCTGTAAGGGTATTCCATAGTCGTAGCACAAAACCTTGTCGTGTGCTTTTGTTGATTGTTTGTTTTTAGATACTTTTTGTTTGCCGCTCTTTATGCCCATTGTGTTGAGGAAATAGTTTCCTGTTAGGCATCCCAGATGGAGGCTTGGAAGTCACGTGAGCAACCTTCTGCCGCTTATTGTGGGGACATTTTTCATTGTCAACGATGGCGAGTATTACTCAAAGTCCACTCTAATGCATTCCAATTGTATTAACAGCATGTTGTTGCCCAAAAAACATTTTTTATGCTTTTTATATACAGCCACGCCACACTCAGCCTCTGGCTATTTACCGAGCACTACAAATTCAGCCAGCTGTGCAGAAGAGCTTGAAGTTTATAGTTTGTATAAATATCTTAATTAGATAAATTAACAGGCTGAAAGTAAATGAAACAAAAGTCTTAGAAATTATGAATGTGAGTTTCGCTGTTGAAGCACTTTGAAAACAATTAACAAAGTAGAAAGGAAGTGCAATAAAAAATCAAATAGTAAGGGGTTTAGACAGCGAAATGTAAGGACATCAGCAATAGGGATTCGACAGCTGGCAAGCTGTCTCGTTTCGTGCCAATACAATGCTTAATTAGCAAAAATCAAGAAAAACAATTGAAAGAAGTTGAGTGGGAAATGCGCAAAGCAAATGAAACGAAATTTAATCAAAAACGTAAATCTAAGAAACTTTCCGCCCACGAAGACAACGTCGACTGGCTGTCTGCCAGCAGACACAAGTAGACACATGGGGGTAAACGGGGGGAGCGACTGCTTGAAATGTAAGAAGGAGAAAGAGGAGGGGGAGGTTGGGGTTGAGGACGAGGGAATGTAATGGCGCCAAGGCGCGTGGTCTTAGCCTAAGCCGTTGGCCAATATTTCTATTTGGCTTTGCTCTCATTCGAAAATGCTGCTCAGTAAATTGATTTTTAATCTGGTTTCCCTAATAATAAATAATATTTCGAAAGGCGGCATAGTACTCACGCCCCATGCCAGACAGAACAGAACAGAAATAGAAAATCAAATTTATAAAGTTTTTGCTAACTGTAATGAAAATGGAAGAATATCTAGGTGCAAATCAATGAAAGCCCATATACATTCCACTGCTACAACCCATTCGTATCCTTCTTTATTATACTCTCCAGTTATATAATGGTCTACATATTAAATTGCTATTTTCTCTTTGTTTATTGCACACACACACTCACATGTATATGTGTGTATGTGAATGCAAACACGTTTCATGTGCGACTACATACTGCGACGACACTGATTAAAAACAAACACTTAACAAATCGGCATGGGAACCTTGCCAGAAGCGATTTCCAGCTGACAACTTTGCTGAATGGAATAATGGACATCCGCTGGGGCTGCGAACGGTGCACGCCTATGTTTTAGTCTATGACATGGGTAATCTGGAAACGTTTCAGGTATAGAACCCAAATACCAATACCAGATATCTTAAGATTTAGCCTCAACTTAAATGAAACTATTTTGCAGTACTGCCGCTCCATAAGAGATCAAATCTTGGATAGTTTCAGTCATCGTGATTTTAGCATAATTGTGGTGGGCAATAAATATGACAATGTCTCAGAGGCGCAGGCTAACTCGCAGGTATCTATAAAATTTAGAAATAAATATTATATATCTTTTTTATTATTATTTTATATAGACTACATATTTTTTATAGATACTAATAATAAATATCTGTAATAGTAAAAAATTTCTATATCATCTCTTTTTTTAGGAGCTTAAAGACATTTCTACGCTGGTGCGCAAGCATTGGCGTTGTGGATACGTAGAGTGCTCGGCACAGTGAGTATCTTTGCTTTTAGCATAACTCTTGCAAATGCAAATGCAAAAGCAAATCCAAATATTGACCATTGCGAAATATGTAAATTATATTTTACCCGATTCCCAACAGATACAACTACAAAATCGGCGACGTTTTTCGAGAGCTAATGGGCTGTAGCAGCGGAGGCGTCAATGGCGCAGCTGTCGGCGTTCTTGTTGGCACTGAATTCTCACAATCAACTAGGAATAAAGGACGCTGTACAATACTGTAGCAAATGCTGCACAAGTTTTTTAAACAAACACCTTACTCGAACGCATGATACCCAAAAGATTTTCCTTTCTGTACCCTGAACCCTTTAAAAAATTGCCAAAAAAGGTTTTAGTTTTTTCTATAAATGGATGCAACCGACGAAAAACGACGTGAACGATGATATATGGTATATATGGTCTTGATCAGGAATGAGAAATTTAAAATATATATTCTTTTTATATAGTACAGTTATTTAATATCGATAGACATACATATATATATTTTTACGTTTTCAAAGACGATAAAAGTTAGAAGCACAAAATTCGAAATGAATACACAGACTGAAGAATCTAAATATATATAGTATTGTAGATATATAGATTCTTCCCTTCATAGCCCTCGAGATTTAAATGACGTTGTTCACTTATATACTCGCACACCATTGACTGCTATATATGTATATTCCCTTTATGCACGAATATCAGAAAAGATAAGCCGAAGATATTCGAAAACTCTCATGCCCGTGCTCATGTGTGAGTGTGTGTATATCTGTGCCTGGGCTTACGGGTGTAACAGTAGCTTAGTGAAGTGGTCAGGGTATCCCCTAGTCGGTCATTCCCGACGGCAGCACACTTGCTTGCTTTCGGCTGAGCTGGGCCGCGGGGGTCATTTGGAATTCTCTTAAGCACAGTAACAGCGAAAGTCCCTTTCAAATGCTTGCTGGTGCATATTTTATCATAAATTTATATACTCTCATATATATATATGTATATGTATATATATATATATGATACACATATTACATTTAGTTCTCGACACACTTTTCCCCTCTCCGCCTTGCCCACGCCCCATTATCATTGTTGGCCATTGTCTCTGTTAGCCTTTGTTTGCCATAATTTGAACATTATGCTCGCTACTTTATCTAAGCCAAGCGTGAGCCAAGCTGCATTCATTGCATCGTTGTTTATTGCGGCTCTCAGCTGCAACGTTTACAATTTTGGTGCATTCGCATTGGCAAGTGTAAATTTTTATTGAATAACCGCAACATATTTGACATATACAGTCATTAGAAGAAAAAGAAAAACACAAAAGATAACCAAATTATATAAAAAGCTGCCAATAAATACATAGCTTGAGTTAAAAATTATATATATTCTTTTTTGTACGTAATAGGTAAATAATCCCACCATAATTTACAATACATTTTATGAGTATAGAAATACAAATATTGTTAATGAAAACAACAGCGATAAACCCCAAATCCATCAGTATAAATGGTATACTTATACGGTAGCTATCTATAAGCAAAATAGTATATATATATGTATATATACATGTACGTATATATAAATTCATTAACGTTGTGATCATTTCAAGAATTAGTTATTAGGCACAGGACGACGATAGATATGTTAAAGTCAAGTAAAAACCCTCTTAAATAGTAAATAATTAAATATATGACAAATACTTAAATGATTTTAAGAATTGCTCATGTTTTAGAAATTGTTTTAATGCAGCAATTAATCTGGCATAAAAGCAAAAAAGAAAGAAAAAGAAACCAGTCCGTAAGATTGTTAAGCTTGCTATTCATTTACTAAACTTGTTTTCATTTAAAAAATTAGAGAAAGGCATTTCGTATTTTTAGAAAATATTGTAAGGGAAGAAAATATAATAACAATAATTGTTGCCTTAAAACAATTTCTTTGTTATTTAAATACCTTACCCGAAGTGACGCAGAGCTAAGAATTAACATAGTTGAGTATGAAATGAATAAATCAAATAATTTAAGCATCAAGCCTTAAAACCAATGCGACCCAAAAGTTATTTCTTAATAACCGATTAATACTATTATTAAGGTTGCAATTTTATAATGCGCACAAGAAACAATTGTTTTATATTACGAATGTTAAGATCCAATTCAGATATTTAAAAGCTATTATTTAAAAGGGAATATATATACATATATGTATATATAGTAGTAAATATATATGTATAGTTTGTCGTAGTCAGAGAATATTGACTAGCTAACTAGGTAGGTAACTCTTAAGTTTCCACAATAAAATTGCTGACATTTACTATTTTCACAAAACAAATCTACTATGTCTCTATACCGAACTCTTTCTTTACCTCAACAAAACTCGAAAGATAAGCAATCAAGTCTGACTTTGTACATAGAGATTTCAAGAATTTTCGTAAATTGCAATATTGTTATTATATAAAGCAAACACAAACTAAACCACACAACACAAAACTACACTCCACTACACTACACTACACTATACTACACTATACTAGACGACACGATACGTACTTACATTTGATCAATGTTTACAGCAATATATAATGACATTTATGTATGTACATTAAAAAAAAAAAACCAAAATCTAGTCAGTCTACACATATTATTATATAAATATATATATATACATACATGCCGACGGCAATTGAGCACACTGCCAATCTGGTATATAACATAGTAAAATCCAATCAAGTTGAGTGCTCAATCGACCAGAGCTGGCAAATCAATATAGAGAATGTGAATTCACATTTCGAATGAAATGAATTTAGTAAAGGGTAAAATTAATAGGCAATAATACGATTAAATAATAGAAAGAAGATATAGTTGAAATTAAAAGTGGCATACGACTACCATTAATCGAAAAACAAACAGAAAACAGATAAACAATAACAATTTGAATGCATTAACAACTACAATGATATAATAGAAATGTACAGCCGAATCACGTTGACTTGTTGAAATGTGTTCATTGCATAGATCTCAAAATTGAAACACAAATTGAACAACACATACGACGCTGAAGTTCTTATATAGATGTCTCATAGGAAGCCTGAACATCCATGCATTTGTATGAAATATACGTATTGTACTTACATATATAATAAACTATGTATAATACATGCATTTGGTTCGAGTTTTCTCTCATGATTTCGAACGATTACGAATTCGTCAAAATGGCTGTTAATTTTTTTGAATATATAATATGCTAAAACCGAGTCACATTTAATAACAAAAAAAAAAAAAACTAAACTAAAGCAACTAAATTAATATAACGATTATAACTAATATACACAAAAGCAAACACACACTTGCGGTTGAGTTATATATTTAAGCAACGCGTTGCCTGTAGTTATAATATATATTTAAAATGGAAATTTAAATTACAAACATTTACGAATCAAATGCAATATGCTTCAGCCGCTTATTGTTTGTTTAGTGCGTTCAAAAATGAAAATAAAAATTATAATAATAATAATAATAATTAAGAGCTAGAAACTAAAGTTAAGGCAGTTATTTATATACGAGTACACCTGTATTTACAACAACAACAACACAAAGATGGCAGAATAGAAATTCTTTTTAATACAAGATCTATACACCCACACAAAGGTAAAGACAAAGACAAAGCAAAGACAAAAACAAAGACAAAAAGAAACACACGCCGCAACTAACTAACTATTAAGCAATGAAAAATGAAGCCTCAACATAATAATCATTATAGTACTAGTACTTATATATGTGCTTATATTATGCCATGTGTATGTATTGTTTTTGCAATCTGCGTGCGTTAAGACGCAACTATATATAACGACTAATCCGTTAGCAATGTAGAGAACGTTTTTGGAAAACTGCAAACCCAAATAAAAATGAATGAAACAATAGAAGAAAATGCAGTTGTATCATTTTATGGACTTTTAATAATGCGACGTGAATGGTATATTTATGTAAACTTATTTATATTCAGTTCACAAAAATTTCAATATTTCTATAAATTTGAAGTCTTTTGACATAACATATATTATCCAATTGTTTAAAATCCTCATCTTCATATAAAAAACTTGAATATAAAAGAGGCAAATATATGATTTAAGTACTTGTTCGTATTTGAATACATACTCATTTGTCTCGGAACATAAATTTCATCTGATGCCACAAAAATTATATTTTTTATGTTGTTACATTTTTCTTTTATTTCTTTCACTTATCGTTAAAACAAAAAACGTGTTCGTCAGAATTTAATTGAAAACAATTGATTTTGTAAATAATTCTAAAATCCGTTCATATAACTAACTAATAAAATAGCTTCAGGATAAGTATACAAACGATTAGGAGTTTACCTAAATTCTAGTGACGTTAGTTAGTTCTAGTTACGTTTGCTTCAAAAACCTAATGTATTTTTACCTTCACATTTGAAAGTAAAACAAACTGCATAGCTCACTATATGAACTTTAATAATAACTATAATTTACAATAGGCATGAATAAAATGAATAACTTAAAATTAGTTGAATGCTCGATTCGCATTTCAGCCGCTAAACGAATAGCCAACGTGCCTTGAGTAATAATTGAATATTTAAAAAAAATTGATAACTTATAATCAAATGTTGATGACTTAATTTAACTTAAAGCTATGGGTTCATACACCAACGTCCCTCGGCTGTTGTCTTTATCACTGATGCTGTTCGCTGTTGGTGCTAAAAGTGCGGCTGCGACTCAGCCGACGTGTGGCTGCCTCAATCGCTGCCTGTTCGCTGTGGCCATCTACCATGCGTTCGGGCAGCTGTAGAATTTCGTGCAGCTGCTGTTTCAGCTGATTTGTTTGCGGCCGCTCCGCTGGCTGCGAAGAGAGCATCTTTTGAAGCAACTCATACTGCTCCGGATGTTGTTTGACAAAGTCCTCAGGATAGTGGCCATCCCTCAAGGCACGAAGAGTCTTAATGCGTTCCATTTCAGTGGAAAAATAAACATGCAGCTCAAAAAATATTAAGCCCAGCGAATATATATCCACCTTGTAGTCATAATTCTGACCACGTAATTGCTCTGGTGACATGTACAGATGGGTGCCCACCAACTGCGTGTGGCGGGCGCAAGACGGTAGACCAGATTGATCACCGCAATCATTTAAGATATTTGGAATATCCGCCATGTCGGTAACGAGTCCAAAGTCGCCAATCTTGATCTGTCCATCCTTGGAAAAAAATATGTTACTAGGCTTCAGATCGCGATGTATTAGGCCCTTTAGGTGGACATATTCTACCGCATCCACAATCTGGTGGAAGATGTGAGCGATATGCGCGGCACGCGCCTCGGTGCGATTGTCCCGCAGCCAGTCGCGCAGACTCTCCTTGCGGCATAGCTGCATTTGTATATAAAGGTAAACCTTATTCGGCTTAGCTGTGTTCCCGTTCTGCGTAGTAGAGTTTGACAATACTATCTGGTTGCTGTGTGACTGTGTTTGCATCTGTTGGTTGTGATTGTGATTATTATGATTATGAGGTAGCGCCAACGTCGATGGTTTGCGCCTGGGCGATACTTCAGCGTCATCATCTGTGCCGCTGCTGTTGCCCTTCGAACGAACCGATTCGATTTGAAATGAATTAGATAGCTGATGCTGCGTGTAATTGATGTTCTTCAAATCAAAGGATGCAGAGTGCACATCAAAGGACACAGCGGTCGGTTGGGTACGCTGCTGGATCTCGTTACTAGGTGGCATCGGCTGCTTCTCGCTCAAGTCTATTTCGTCTGCATGGAGAGCCGCTGACTGTGATTCGCTGCGAAATTCAATAAGCGAATCATCATCATCATCTTCGTTGTATTTTGCATTGCGGCTGAACGATTTGTCGCCATGCCCATAATCATTGCTACAGGCAGTGCTGTTCACAGTATCCGAGACCCAAGAAGCTAGATCATGATGCTTTTTATGTGGATGATTTGGAAAAGTTGGCATGCTGCTGCCATCCGGAGTTTCAATTTGTATGGAAGTTGACATTTCGTGTGCCAACAGCTTACGGTCCTCCTCTTCCTGCCAGCCTACAGGTGGTGTTTCTACCCAGGACTGCAATAAAAAAATTTATTATATTTCTACCACTTGAAATATAAGTTAAATAGAGACATACATGAAAGTATCGCACGATATTTTGGTGCTCGCAGCTGGCCAAGGTCCGCGCCTCACGCAGCACACGTTGACGCGAGGACTCCTTATTCGGCAATGTTATACGTTTGATCGCATAATGATTTTCATCCAACTTGTTCTTTGCCTCAAAGACCACACCAAATCCGCCTCGACCCAGGCATTGCATCAGGTCGAAGTCTGATTGAAAACGCGATATAAAATGCTCACCGGAATTTGTGGTCGACTCTGAAATGGACCGCTGCAAGCGCCTAACACTTGAAGCGTTGTTATTTTGATTTCCACGCTGCTGGTGATGGTTCCCTGCCAAGGACTGCACTGGCCCCAAAAGCGCCTGGGTAGATGCCTCCGTCGCTTCAATGGCCGTCTGAACAGGCACATGTCTCTCGATGACAAAGTACTCACGTTCCACTCGTTGATTGCGATGGCCCATAAACATGTTGAGCAGCACCGCTGAGGTGAACGCAATGACCACAATCTCCTTCCACCAGAACCACAGCGAGAGAATGATAACCTTGACAGGTGCATCAATATCGTCCAAGCTGAAGCCCAGATCATCATTGATACTCTGATTTCCGCCAGCTGCATTTGATTTGCCACCTTCTTCTTCTTCGTTAGTGCTCGGTGGCTTCTCTATAGCAGGCAAGTCAGTGGGTGTATCATTAGCGCCACATTCCAGCTTACCACTTTGCTTGCTCAGCTGGGAGTCGGTGTAGAAATAGAAACCATTCCCATTTACAAACTCCGAGGCATTCAAGACTGACTGCGCTGCCACAGCCAAGTTCTGGTCGTCATATCGAACTAATTCATTTCTCCCATAGTCCTCTGATATGATTACTTTATCGCGCTCGTTCTGGAATAGCACTAATGAGTTTTTGCTGGCTGCAATCGGCCTCCAGGGTATTCGCGGCAGAGAACTTGTATCGCCCGAAAGCTGTTGATACTGCTGCGACTGAAACATAATTTCTTCTCGCAAACGAATGGACTCCTGTATATACAACTGCTTTTCGTACATGCCCAAATAGATGGAGGGCGCATGGATGGGCTTGCCCTCCACGTGCTGTTCAGCCTGCCAATGAGCCGAACCAAAAAGATCGATGGACTCCAATTCGTCGGCTTCATTTGTGTGCCATACACTCACAATGGGATTGTTAAACTGTGAAGTAAAATAAGGCGAGTTATCTTATCTATATCTTTACAAAATTTTAATTTGGTTCTACACACTCACCTGGTGCTTCCAGAGCATTAGCTGGGGATCACTCTTGCTGAATGCACACACAATGCCCTCTGGCACTACAACTCTTATATCCACATCCAAGACAGCCAGTTCAATGTCGCTACGCGGCTCCTCATGACAATCATCGGCTCGAATCAGATTCAACTCGTGCTGTCCAACGCTAAAATTCCAGCGCTCAATGCCTGTACGGGACTCTACGGCCCGTACTGTTTGAGTCTGGCGACGGATCACGATAACGTCGTCCAGAAGCGA